AAGTGAAGTTAATTAATACAAAAGGGAAGCAAGTTTTTCCTGCAGTCAAGAGAGTAGAAAAAAGTAGTATAAGAAAAACTTTACTTGAAGTCGATTGGCAAATACAAGAAATCAAAGGCTGAAACAATGGCTTTCTTTGCTTTCTTCATCATCCTCGTTACAACTCTGAATTCCCGACTTTTGATTCTCCATCATACAGTGATTGTCGAGGAAATCTATCAGCATTTTACGCCTGCAGAAACCCAAAAAGATTATTGTATAGTATATCTAGATATGGTGTATATATACATACACACACACAGTTAAAGCAGAAAATAAAACATGCATGTGTGATTCATATACTCTTCAAAACTTGAAAATATCAACCCACTTAATTCAACAACAGAACAAACCAATTCACAGAAAACAAACCAAAACCCTAGCTTCATATTATAACTTTAAGCACTATATATATATATATATATATATAACCAGTAAATCATAAGCCAAGATCATATTTATACGTACGTATATTTACTGGGTATATTCTTTATCATGACAGTTGTATTATCCCCGTACCGACACACCGGTTCAACAGCATGTCTCCGACGAGCTTTACGCGCAGAGCAGCCGCCATTAAACTTTCTTCTCCGCCGCCGGCGCTCACCGAAATCTCCGACGAGAATGTTACTTCTACTATCTTCACTATATCTCTCTCCACTTTGAAGATAGTTATTACTACACGGTACAACCGGCCTCCATTCCTCCCTGTGATAAAAACCCCGGTTTCCTCGTCCCGGCCGGCGAAATCTCTCAGAACTCTCCCCATGATTATGCCGTCCAGTCAAAACGGCTTCGTCGGCGATCACATGGGTCCGGTCCAAAACCGGACCAGGGTGACTTGTGTCCGTGATCGGAGCTACAGACACGGGGTGCAACTCCGACGGTGGCGCCGTGGATTGATTCGGGTATGTGTAGAAAGAATAGGAGAAGAGATGGGGAGAATTTTGCTGGGGGTAGCAGTTAAAAGGCGATTTCAGAGATGATAAATAGTTGAGAGGCAGATAGAGGCCGTGAGAAGTGAAAACGACGTCGGATTGTTCGTAGATGTTCGGAAAGTAAGCTGGAGCTTCTGGGTTTAAGCTCGAAGCTACTTTTACTCTATCTGCCATGAGAAGTCGCACGGAAGAAGATAACTAAATGAGACTCTTTTAAAGAGAGGTGATGGAGAGAGAAAAGGGTTTCTGTCTAAATCGTCTTCATAGTCTAATATGGAAGATGAAGGAGGTGGATGATGATGATGGCTGGCAGATGATGAAATTGGGATGTCAAAACAGTTCAAATTTTTTAATCATAATTACTTTCATTTATTTATAATTTGAAATAAAGAAATAATCTACTCAAATTTACTGAAATTTATATTACATATATATGAGTATATGATATTGTAGCATATATTTCAATTCTTAGAGAAATAATAATCGAAATGCATAGGGAAACAATAATGCATCTATAGCATCTCATGTAAATTTTAAGTGTTAATTTACGTATTTAAATTTAATTAATTAATTTATATATAAATTAAATTATAAAAAATAAATAAATTTTAAAAAATTTTCCTAAATTTCAACCAATCGAATGATTCTCCATATTTTAAGCAAATTCAATGGTGAGATCGTTGGTAATTAGATCCAACGACCCACACACGAGATACTGTTTGAATAATTTGCATGTGTTCTAAAGTGATCCAACAATCACACAAATGAACAATTCATATCTAAAAAGATCATGATCTAACGGCTAAAATTGCGTGATGGCAAAATTATGATTTTACCATTAATGAAGGTCAATCCAATGGACCGCATGCAGCCACGCGTGTGATGATTGCACGATCCAAATCTATTGAGGGCTGTGTTTAAATGCTCATCCAAGCCACTCTGACCCAACTTGATCATCAAGAAGAAAAGAAAGAAGAAGAAAAGAAAAGGAAGAATAAGAAGAAGGAAAAAAAAAAGAGAAAAAGTGGCGAGAATGCCTTACGCGGCAGAAAAAAGAGAGAATGAGAGACAAAACATGTCGGAGGGAGGTGTACTGCACAAGGAAGGCAATTTGCAGCCAACTGGTGCTGGAAACCGAAGGCAATACCCGCAGTGGCCCGCAACCTCCTCCGATGAGCCCTTTTTCAATTTCCGTTTTGCATGATTTTTCGACCATTATATTTATCATCTTTTTCTGTGCAAGTTGACCGAAGAAAGAATCTCAGCCGTGAAGGAGAACCGGTGGAGCTGCCGCACCCAGAGGTCCCCCCCGCTTGTGAGTTTGATTTTCTACAGTTTTTCGGTAAACCGAGATCCCTGACATATTTTTCTATAGGAATACGGCCAAAACCGCCTAAAAACGGCCAAAATTAGCCAAAATAGGGTAGGTCGATGCGAACTGCCGCTGTGGGCCGCAGAATCGGTGCTGGAGAACGATAGTACCACCTTGCCGACAACCCGAAATTGGCCGAAACAAGTTTTAAACACTGATTTT